GAAGAGAAAATATATTGACGGAGGAAAAGAAGAATATCTTTGAGTCATATGTCATTCCCAAAGCCCTTAAAATGCACTCTGATCGACTTTTTGTTAAACCCTTGAGGATCAGCTTGGTTGTGCCGGATCCTGTGTATGGAATTTGCACTGAATTTACGATTCCGCGTGAACACCACACGAAAGGTGTGCCTAATACCGACATGGTTATTTACGCCGGTGCTGCACCCGTGACTGGGGCAGCGGCGTGGGCAGGGCCGTGCCTCACATTGCGGGATGGTCGTCCATTTGTTGCTGTGTTGAACTATGATCCTCGGACCCTTGTTCGTGATGATGCGACAGTGCGCCAAACCGCACACGAGGTTGCACATGCTCTTGGATTTGGCTACGAGATAATGGAACCACTCGGTATGGTGAGCAAGATCCCTAATGTGCGCGGCAAGGAATTTGTGACGGTTGTGAGTTCTGCAATAACGAAGGAGAAGACGCGGGAACACTACAACTGCCCTACCGCTCCGGGCATGGAGCTGGAGGACGAGGGTTATGGGGGGACAGCGGGATCCCACTGGGAACGTCGCAATGCGTTGGATGAGTTGATGGCAGGCATTTCAGGGGCCTCTCTCTACACATCACTGACAATGTCGGCTTTTGAGAGTATGGGATTTTATCGCGCCAATTGGGGAATGGAGGAAGACATGGCCTGGGGCAGGGATGCCGGCTGCGCCCTGTTGGAAAGGAAGTGCATAGAAAACGGCGTCAGCGTCGTCCCGGACATGTTTTGCACCAATGCCACTCCGCCGGGTCAGTTGCTTTGCACCGCTAGCCGTCGAGGTCTTGGGTCCTGTGGCCTGTATACTTATTCCCAGAGCCTTCCTATTCATTTTCAGTACTTTTCCGATTCCAAAGCGGGGGGCGGGAATGATTATGTAGACTTTTGCCCTTATATTCACCAGTTTAGCAACACTGGATGCATCGACGGTGATCCAAAAGTTATGCGCGGAAGCTACGTCGGACCGAATTCACGGTGCGTGAAGGGCGACTCCCTTGAAACGTTGCAATATCCTGTTGGCGACATCTGCGTCGATACTTTGTGCGAGAATGGGGTAGTGAAAGTGCGTTATCTTGGTTCTGAGGCATGGGAACCGTGTCCTGAGGGTGGCCACATCACTCCGAACGCGACATTTTACAAGGGTCGAATTATTTGCCCGCGACATGCGGATGTGTGCTCGCGACGTAAAATTAAAGTCAATGGCTTAAAAGACAGCTGTGTGGTTGCCGCATTTGGTGTGCCTCTTTCGTTTCTTATTGCTCTTCTATGTGTTTTGGCCGTGATGATGTTCCCTTGAGGACATGGCGTGGGGAGTGAGAAACTGAAGCAATAAAACTCAAACCGATGTGATTTTTACTTTCCATGGAAATGCTTTCACCCTTTAAGAGGTTGTGAAAGGTGTGTCCGAGCCCCACGGTGCTCAGAAAATAAATGCGATTGTTTGTCCTTTTTTTTTTTCGTTCTGTCCTTTTTGTTGTTGTTGTTGGATTTTTTGCTATTGATTACATGGTTTTTTTTGATTCCAGACATGCCGTGTTGAAAGTTGGCGCGAGTTCCGTGCGATTCTCTTATTCCAACCACCATCCACGAACCTTTTGTTTTTTTGTTTTTTTACGCAGAGGGGATCCCGGCAGTTGTGAGGTCCGAAAGGATGCCACCTTTTGTATTGAACACAAACCCGGTAATCATAACCCGTTGCCCTTTGAAATTGTCTGCCTTCCCCGCTTATGAGTGCGTAATATTACCTCGACTCGAGTGTGTGGGAGATGCTGGGTGCAGTGAACCAAGCTTGCACCACCCTTTATGTTTTTTTCTCTCTGTAGGAGTAGGGGAAAAGTTGGTAACTGAGCGCATGTTCTGTTTATGTTTCTGTTTTTTTTTGTGTGTGTGTGAGTGTGTGAGTGAGTGGGATGGAGTTTGATGTGTAGATGTCTTTCAGCCGCTGTGTGCATCCGATGCTTCAGCGTGCGCCTCCATCCTTTTTTTTTTTTTTAATGTACTCTTTTGCTTCTCCTTTAACGGCAATGCTTTTTTTTTTTCCCTTTATATTGTTGTTCCCTTGAAGTATTATATACATATATATGTGACTTCTTTGTTTTGTTTTGTCTTCGTTTTTTTTTTTTTTTGGACGTTTTATAAAGGCAGTTTTCTTCTCTTTTTTTTTTTTTTTTCCAATTTCTTATGGTGTGATGACACACATATATGTACACATACATCTCTGGTTTCCCTTCTCCGCCTGGAAATATATACGCTGGATAGCCACGGCCATATGCAATGTTTTATTATTATTATTGAGGGGGGCACCGTACTTTTTCTTTTTTCTTTTTCTTTTTCTTTCTTTTGCTTGTCTGTTTGTTTTTATGTGGGGGGAGGGGGGGGATTATCTTTGAATTGTGAGAAATGGGGTGGTGGTGGGCGGAGCCAATGGCTTCCTCGCTGAATGGCCGCCTCGCCCCTGCGCGGTGGAGGGGGTCGTCACCCTCGTGTTGGTTTCATCAATGCGATTATCCTCTTGAATTACTTGCGTTTCTTTCCTCTTGGGGTCTTTTTTTGTTTGTCGGGTGGGCCACCGTGCAGCGGCCGGCTACCGGAGCGTTTCTCAGGGCCGTTAAGGGGCGATGCCGGAAGCTCAGAAATGGGTTGAAACGAGAGTTGGAAAAAGATTGGGGGGTAGACGTCACATCGTGCAGGCATCATGAGAATACGGCCCATGCACGCATTTCACACGTCTCCTTATCGAGTCAAGAATCTGTCGACAGAGAGGCAACGAGGGGTTTGGCGACAGCCGTGGGTGCGTTGACTGAGCGAATATGCTGAAACACTCTGGCTATTGTTGCGTGCCCTAAACGCTTGGAGAAAATGGAAGTTTGACTGCTGCCACAAACGACGACCCATGAATGGCGGGATCGCACCGCATAAATCTTGTCATGGTGTCACCGGCACGTCCATTTGGAGACGATGTGTCGAATGTCTCAGTTTTGCTGCACAAATGATATTTTTTTCTACTAATATTTGCAGCCCTCCGAGTAGAGTGAAGGAATTTACTCCTCATTGCCTTTTGCTCTGCGCACTCTGGCGGTCATGATCGTCTTTGACGTCGCTCTGCCATCTTGGGTGTGTTGAAGTCCCTCTTTTTTTTTTCTTTTCTTTTTTTTTTTGATGTGTTTGTTTTTCCCTATTGTCATGGCTTCTTTCCCGTCTCTCAATATCTCTGATTACCCCGCGGACCATTACGCGGTTGTAGGAGGAAGAGTGTTGAGCCTGGTGCACATCCATTCTGGCGGCGGGAGAAAGGAATCATGGATTCTATCCCTGTGGAGGCGTCTTCCAAACCTCTGCTTGACCGCCTGTTGTTGAAACAAGGCAGTACTGCAAAGCAACCGTTCACGGTGTCTTCTGCGCCCGCGGACATTCTTCTGGACACCGACACTTACGGCATCTCACTTCTTGCCTCTCTTGGAACATTGGCGCGTGCCCGACAAAACCCCAGCGTGCTGCTGTGGCTGGACGGCGTTGCGAGAAGACAGTTCCGCTGGAGAAAGAAGGACGCAACGGCTCAGCGTCTTTTCAGATGGGCGTCGCGTCAGATAGAGAGACGTGAAGCTCTCAAATCGCACCTTGATCCGGCGAAGGGTTTGTCTTTTCAGCCCACCATAAACGGGAACTTCGTGATAAAAAGGCACGGGCCGCATGTGGCCCACGAGGATTTGGTGCAGTGGGAGCAAAGGCGTTTCAAACACCTAGAGGAGAAAAATTGCAGCCAGCCCCGGCAGATGTCGCCTGGGCCGCAAAAGATACTGCAATTGCGAGGCACGGTGGAGGACGGTGATGAGGGGAGCAGGATAAACGGTGAACATAACGACGATGTATCCACGCCCCAAAATACAAAGAGCAACTCCCGCCGTATCACGAAGGATTACCCCCCACTGCTGGAACGCATGCAAGACGACATTGCTGTGCGGCGGCAGCGTGCAGCTGAACGTGAGGACTACGCGCGGCGTGAGTCCGCCGCACTGCGGCTTTCACCGCGGCAGGTTGCAACTCAGATCAGTCGACTTTCACAACACGCCGATACGAAACGTGAACTGTTTTTTGACGAGGACGTGACGTTCACGACGAAGACCAACGGAGAAATATTCTCGCCGCCAGACAAACCCCCGGGCGTCAGTGTTGCTATTGCTTCTTCATTCCAGCTCAGGCGACAGGGGGACACCGGGCCTTCATCGGCGCCCCGCCGCTTTCCACCGCCTGATATGCCAACGGCGAGGGCTGCGACTTCTCCGATTCAAATTAAGGCGTTCTGCGAGCGACAGCGATTGTGGGAGACGCGTCGCCGGGACCGTCTCCGCTGCATTGGCGAAGAAATCAACGCCCGTAGAGAAGAAAAAGAAATGGCGGAATGCACGTTTCATCCCACAGTGAACGTCTCGCCGTTGATACATACGCCGAGCTTCGAGGAAACCCGCAGTCTATCGATGCGTATCCCATTCGGTGCCCTCGAGTACAAGTCACCCACGCACCGCAGACCACTCGATTACGAAGACATCAATGAGCTTCGTTTGCGCAAAACACCGGCGTCAGCAAACAAATCAAACGCGCACGCACAAGGCAGGAGAAACGCCTCTCTGTATGGCAGGGCCGCCTCATGCACACCCTCTCGACGAGCAGGGACAAGAACTTACGTTGAGCTCCACACCCCTCGGCGGGAGGATTCAAAAAGAACTGATCGGAGCAATGTGATGGAGAAATCGTCTGTTACAAGGCGGGCTTCCCAGTCTCAGAAAGATATCGGGAGTGGGGCGTTGGATCTGGACGAGCAGACACTTCTCGACCTGAGCATATGGTGGAAGGATCTTCTCATGCAAGAGCTACAGGTTTCGTGTGGCACATGTAACAAACGGGAAGACGACGCCCTTGACCTCCGCCTACAGGGTTGGGCACTGGAGACTCCATTTACATGTACGCTTGCCCCAAAAACGGTGATACAGGCGATACAGGAGCTAATTTACCTTAGCGCCGGCGAATCGAACGCCATGGCACTTGAACGGATATTTGGCAACGAGTCTTCATGGATTCAAACAATTTTACAACAAGGGGGTAGGGTGACTTTTGCTCAGTTTATCGAAATTTACAAAAAGTTGTTGCACACAAAATAGTGCGGGAATAAACTGTAAATTGGGAAAAAATAAACGTCTCTGCTTCAAACATCAAAATGCTTCTTCAAGAAGCATTTGCGCGTCCATGAAACGCACGTACACCCCATATCTTCCATTTCCCTCTTTTTTTTTTGGTTCACACTCACGCGCTCTGCGAAGAAAGAAGGTAGGTCAGCTTATAAACAAGCATTCAAAAAGAAATAAGGGTTCAATCGATAAAAATACGAAATATATATCTACATACATATTTAACATCCAGAATA